TACACACATATATGCATACATATATACATGCATACATACATACACACATCCATACATACAAACAAACATACATACATACCTAAATACATGCATACATTTATATATATTTATATATATATATATGCATATATGATCTTCACGAATATTCTCTTATGGAAATTTTTTTAATACCTTTATTTCAGCTATCTCAAAGTGTTGATTTAGCAACTCATACGCTTGCATACATACATACATACAGATAAGCATGCATACATACATATATATGTATGAGTTGCATATGAGTTGCTAAATCAACACTTTGAGATGGCCTGAATGAAGGTATCAAAAAGATTTTTCATGAAGGAATACTCGTGAAGTGCATATATGCATATATATATATATATATATATGTATTTTTCAGAGAGATATTGTGTAACCTCTATTTATTTTCACCTTTATTTCTGCATTATGCATTGACAACGAGTAGCTCCTAGATTACTTACTATTATTTTAGTATAATTTAAAATTTACTGGAAATTTCGGATTTGCATGGGATGCTGAAATCGGCTCTTCCAAGTGCCAGCCGGTTTAGCATAAGCCTCCTCTTTTCCTCTGCTCCCTCCACTCGTGTATCCACGCCAACAAAAATGCGCTCAAACACACGCACACAAACATGCACATTCATGTTTTTTTTTTATTAATATTCTTTTCGCCCGCATTTGCAACTCAGACACTTCGCCTGTTTGACGACAAAGTACAACTGCCCCGGAGTGCCGGCTGTCCTCTCCATACTTTTGGCCAACATCAACGCCTTCTATGCCCACAGCACTTCTACCAACAGCCAGACCGCCAGCGAACGTTTCGCGGCGAGTAATTTTGGAGTAAGTATCTGCCTTGATGATCCCCTGAAAATGCCAAACAGGCTAAAATAGGTCTCTGTTCGCCGGTTTCAGGAGAAGAAATGAAACTGGACATCACCGGACATCAAACTTACAACTCATATTTGTTTATGTCGTTTTATAGGATTTGCCTTAACTTTTCCCATCCAGGCCAAAGTTGGTTAGACGATATTCGTGAAAGGGTCTCGTATTCTCACGACGTCTGTTCCATCCGGACAGACGAAAGTTCAGGTCGTCTTCGTCGGGTTAGAAGGCTAGTGATGCGTTAGTAACTACACTCAAGTCAGCAGTCACAAATCCGCTTCAAACTCCCATAAAGTAGTGGTTAGTTAGAATCGTGGATACGCAAACCAAGATGTTATGGTCTCTTATATGAAATGTGTTTATGCCATTTCGTTTGAGCTGATGAAGGACTGGCAGTTTAAGTTTCTCACAATGTTATGTACAGACACGAGGCTATGTGAAATTCAAGGAAAACCTCATGTCTACTCACATGAATGTGGGAAAATGCATCATCACCTTAAACAAAATGGGGTGAACACAACTCATATATCAGATTTACTGATTGTCTCAAAACCCCATTTACAAACGAAAAACGGTGTGGCCTTTTGAATGTATGAAGACCAGGATGTTGTGATCTCTGGTATGGTCGCAGTCTCCTTTCGATTTATACAAGTCGGTTGACCTCGTTGTCGCAATTGGTCTTGTTGTCAGGGCGACTATGTGTGAACGCACCTAGTCCGAAGTCGTCTGCCATAGTAGTTGTCATGACTCCCAGCATCAGACAGTGGACTTGATACATTCTCAAAAGTGCTGCTATTCTCGGCACCAAGCCAGGAACTCGTCGAAGAGACAAGTGAAGCCAATGCCTTGACAACCGTTCTACTGAAAACGATTACACTGTTACACCTCTTTCTCGTAAGAAAGTAGGGTTTCGAGACTACCAGAAAATCATTGTAATGAGATGTATTCACCCTATTTCGTCTAAGGTGATGAAGGGCTGGTAGTAGAATTTTCCTACAATGATATGAGTTTAGCTAAATTTTCCATTGAATTTCACATAGCCTTGCTTTTCCAAAAGTTGTTCTCATCCAGACAGAAGTGGACTGCAGTTTCGACC